GGCGATCGGCGCCGAAACAGTAAAGGCGATTTCCTCAAATCGAACAAGGCGTCGAGACGAGGGATCTGGAACTGAGACAAGTCAAACATAGACCGGAAGTCAATTTTCGGCAAGGACGCTGCTGGCATGGACTTTTTCCGACGAGTCCATGTGACTGGGGCGACGGAGTCCGAAGCGTACCCCATCTGAAGCTGATCATCGTCCTCGTCGCCGCCTCCAACGCCTATCGTCATGCCACGGCTGAAGCAACCGCTGCTGTCGCCGTACGGCTTAGGGGACCACCGAAAAGAGCGAGGCAACGTACTCGAGAGACCTACGCACATGAAGAACAAGATTACGACACACAGACGATGAGAAGCACAACGAGAGACCAGCCACTCGATCGAGAGGTGAACATGAACCGTGTAACCAAACGCCAGAAACAAAAGTGCATTTCCAGTACGAAAAGAAAACGATCGTGCGTGTCTCGTAGGAAAGAACTGGCCGTGTGAAACTCAAGGAAAACAAACAATGATATGCATGAGAATCAATATCATCGTACGACAGATTACGACATACGAGAGAGCGATACCAAAGAGAGTAATGATAAACATTATTCTGGAACGAGAACGATGCTACTCTAGTTAATAGACATGGCCGTGATAAAGAAACAACGAAATTTTTTATAAGTGGAAAATCTGATCACGAGAAATGGACATGTGAGCAACCAAGCTACTTCCCTACTGGTTCACGAGCAAAATTCGACGGTAATTTCGTAACAGTCAGTACTGGAAACCAGTTTAAAAAAATGAAACACTCTCTGCCCTGTTTGGCTGTAACAACGGGTATGATTTTATACTACGAACGAGAGCCAAAAACTAAAGAGCTAGGTAGGTAGTCTAGCCTGTCACTGCAGCACTCGTGGCTTGCATTATTATAGAAGTGATTCCGCCTAATTTCTAGCAAATTACTGACGCATACTCACAGTTAAGCCTATCAAGTACCTATTAGAGGTAACCAGAGGTTAATAACATTAAAATAACCAAACTCTTTTCAAACTATTGTTTCCAATCGTCACAAATAAAAACCACACTAACCGCCAATATCCAGACCAGCTAAGTTCGGAAGTGATTCGGGTAAAATCGCCTTTCGTACCTGACCAACTGCGTCCAACAACTAAAGTCAGAAGCGTTTAAAATTTAGAAATTCTATGAAACAAAGTAAATGATCGTATACTGTTGCAAGCAGAACGGTCTAAAAAGTTTTAAAAAAAAGTAGCGCAACAGCGAATGTCTGATTGTCAATTATTAGGCGACAATTACTACATAATCCAATTATTATAGTTACAACACTCTACCGAATAAATATCAAACAATGTTCGCACAATACTAGATTTCACGACGCAATGTACCGAACCCTTGCTTCTAGTTCAGCAAGCAGCCATTAAAACATGGCACAGCTCTATGACATTTTAAGACCAGCAGTGTCAGATGCAGGAATTATGCATGTGCATGGGACATACACGGGCGTACGAACATACGGGCAGTATATAAGGAGTACCACCTGTTGAACCATCGTATTATGATCAGCGCGAGGTGCCACTAGTGGACAAAGTGATGTGAAATGCATCTGGGTATCAGTTGCTCTAATACCATGTAGCCGTAGCATTCTTAGACGAAACCCAGGCAACTAGGAGCAAGGGAAAGGCGCAGTACGCCGTAAAATTTGGTCTTTGAGGAGTTAAGTCTTATAATTACTCCATTATTATTATTAAACAGAAAAACGGTTTAAAGAATGGACAATTCATTTACCGTCAGAGAGCTTTAAGAACCATAAAATAACGTTCCTCATTTGATGAACAATAATAATCACTGGTTTTGAACTTGAAATGTGTTTTGCCTACAGTAAAAGTATTTTAAGGTACATTTGTACTGCTCACTCACTTACCGATTTGCTTTCCTATGTAGAAGAACCTTCTCAGAAGCTGCAAACAAAAAAATGTACAAGCTTGAATCGAGAGCCAATGTTACGAGAAATTAGGAAATGGAACCGTTGCTGCAAATAATGGCCCAACCCCCAACCTTCTCAAACATCTACTAACTTCGTTGCTTGCATACTGCCTTACTTAATTACCCATTCTTCTGCCGGTTCGCTGGCGTATAACTGAACCCCGTATTAGCATAATTATTCACCTAATTAATCATTCGAAAGAATCAGAAGGAACCAAATAGTTTCTGAAATCAAGAAAATCGACAGAGTTCATTAAAAAGCCAACATTTATCATAATCGTGGCACTGGTTAAAAATAAGGGATTTACAAACTTATCTGTTTCATTACCAATTCACCTACTCACATAATTGCCCGTTCCTTCAATCAGTCCGATTTAGTGACTGACATATCATTATTTATATACTGATTATCACTATGGATCATCGTGATAATCATACCAATAGTGAAGATCATAATAGCAACCACGATCATCGTAATGATCATAGTTACAATTATTATTATGACAGCAGCGAGTACCACGATCACAAATGTAAAACCTCATTTGTGATCTTTTACTGAAGCCATCATCACAGTCACTGGAGAGGAAAGCGTAGGCGATCACAGTGATAACGAGATTATCATCGAACGTCATCAAAAGAAAGCGTCACCCCTGTATGATCTCAAAGATCACCGTGATCATGACGATTATCAGCATGCCCTAAGAACTACGACGGTGATGAGAATGCAGATGAATATGACGTCCATTACAATTATCCTGATCATGACAAGTGACAACACATCGAGCTCATGATGATTACGGTAATTGCTATGACCCTGTGATTAACATCGTTATCATCACGGTAACGAAAATCACCCAGAACATGGCAGTGGAGATCAACGGAAAGTGACGATCGTTCCATATGAGAGTAAGACATAATGATCATAATTACTGATGCGGATTGCCACAATGATCACCATCTTAATGTCATGCGTAAAAATATCATTTGCTCTACAATGTCATGACCACAGCGATCACCGTAACCATTGTGAATAGCAATCATTTTAATCACAACTTTTGTTACAACTTTAATGCTTATGATTATGATATTATTATAATCATAATCAGTCTCGAAGACGGTACTGAAGATCCATATGAAGATGCACCTCATTCCCCATGATCTTAAGATTAATGATAATCACAACCACTGGTAGGAAGAACTATCATGATGGTCATCATTTAAATGTCATCCGATCAACTTCACGTTGACTTTTCAACGCCTTGAATACGGTTATGATAGATGTGATTCTGAAAAACACGGTGCTCACTATAATAAACATGATCGTGATGACCGTAATACAAATATAACAATAACACGAATATAACAATGAAGGAGGGCAGGAAACAAGAACACAGTAATGACGATGACGTTCATGATCAGATTAAGCGATGATCAAACGCATTCTGTGGTATATCATATCAACCATATCATATCATATTTCACTGTAATATATTATACCGGTTAAATTTGAAATCATACTTACGGCTCGATTTGAATCCTTCCATCGATTTCCGGCGTACTGATCACGAGGGTTCAACGCAATTTGCTTCGCATCGTTCACCATCGGTGGTATAGCTAAGAAACAGAAAATTAGTGGTCCTCATGAACGATGGTTTGTTTGCTTATGTCACAATTCAAACATTTCAAACCGCCATAAGTTATTTCAGAAGATCAAAATCATACGTATACTTGTAAACTTAACGAACCTCGAAACACTGTTTGAACTGTACAGGGGTAAACGATCTTCTAAGTTAAGGCAGGTCTTGAATATTTAATATCCCTGAATCCGAAATTGAGCATTTCGACCGCATGCTGGTAGTCATACTCAAAAATAGCAAAAAATGGTCTATTTATATGGAGTGCAATATGTCATGTTTTGAATGACAGGCGTTCGACTCCTCAGTAGCAAAGAAATAGTGTCACAATTTCTACCTTGAAGATAGGACTCGAAACGTGCTATTGACCTATCACCGGATTAATTACAAGAACTGCGCTTTTCATACTTAATGCATTCTAATGCTCCTTTCTGAAAATTGAGTATTCGTCGGTGTGTCGGTGGCCATTTTGAAAACTGAAAATGTAAAACAGCACGGACTATTCATAAACAACGCAAGCAACTAGGTCAGTCGGGTGATTAATCGGTGCTAACGTTTCGGCTCGTACCTCATGAACCTTCTTCAGAGTGAAGGGTTGATATCCGCAGATAATTTCATAGGAGTCATTACAAAAAAGAAACCAGCTAAACAGACGCATCAAAGGGGCATTAATTATGCAACGATGCGAAAATCTCAACCAAGACAAAAGATATGAACGTTGCACGGACCGGACAAGTCCGGTTACCTAAAAACTACTTAACCAACAACATGGGCCAAAAGCAGCGTTCCGACTATAAACGCTATAACAACTTCAGAAATGAACCATGCCAATCAATCACTCAATGGACGAACATGTTTGAGAAGTATGTGACTAAATCGTGTCTATACTTTTTTTCAGTTTTCAATGTTCCTTTTTAAGTAGTTCCAAATTCTCTTCGTGAACTTCTATACTAGGTGTACAATTATCTGATCATTTCTTCTGTACAATTATTGCTGCCACTTCACCAAACGCATTTTGCTCTGTTTCACACGGCCTTTTCAATTTAGTTACATATGCTTGACAGTAGTGAATGTAAAGCATTACATTGCATTAGCATTATATTTACTATCGTATTCCAAAGTAAGAGCTATGTAGTAGTGTGCAACTTCAACTACAGTTGGCAACAAAACAATCTATTTACCTTAACTATACGAAGCGGCGTCATACCTGCTTGTAGCCTGTCAGCTGCTTGCTTGATTTTACCGACGAACAACGGGTCTTCCGAATTGTCCGCTTCGTTCTTCGCAGCCATCAAGACTCGATTGGCAAGCCTGGCTATGCTGGACGTGTTATCGACCATCTTCTGAGGCTGACAATTCCTGATTGCGTCATCGCATTCATGTGCATGATGTCGCATAAGGTTTTCTATGAAATATTGCTTTAATAGCAAACCCAGTACGAAGCCATCAGACCGGACACGTCTTTCACCAGAAGGTGCATAAATTTTTGTGAAAGACAAAGTTAAATAAAAGAAAAACGAACAGAAACTCTGCTGTCCGGATAAGAAAGGAGAAAGGTTTGGGAAAACGGCGTAGTGCCTGACAAAAGTTGGCCACCTTTCGCTTGTGGTTTTGACGCTATCGAAGTTTATACCGGTTCAGTGCTGGACCCGTTTGCCAAGGGAAGA